ATTTTGATCGTTCCGAAATTGATCGATTTAGCAACATTTGCGTTATATAAATAAGTACTCTCTATAAAATATATTATTTCGCCATTGTCTAGAATACATGTTTATATCTTGTTACAGACATGCACGAAAGATGAAGAATGCAAAGTAGGGTCCTGCTCATATTGCAACAATGGACTTTGGGGCGACAATACTTGCCGCTAAGAGTAGAGCGGATCAAGTGCCCTCATGTTCTAATGCACGAATAAAAGTTGTATAATATACTGTTGCACGTGTCAAATAATTTAATTAAAGGACTTAGTATCTCATGTTGAAAAAAATGTACAGCATACTCGGGCCAACTGGAGACACCTCCAGACACTGCACTGCGCCCAGCCATAAAAGCTAGCGGTCGCAGTTCGGACGGATCTTCATATAGAATGTGGGGCGGCCTTGCCTACTGTCGATGATGCCAGTGAACAATTCATCACTCAACTACTAGAAAGAAATTCGCAAAAATGTAGCCTGGAATGACAAACCTCTGGAGGAAAAACGACTCGTCACTCTCACCCTGTTGCTAAGGTTTTTTTAATCGTTCCGAGACAATTAATGATACATATATGTCAACTTTCTCAAGTTTTTGTGATATCAATGATTAAGACCTCTATGATGAAGAAATACTGAGGTGATGTAGTTACATCATCGATTGAAACAAAATTATGACATATAAGAAAACGAAAAACGGCTTTGTTAGATAATGTGGCAATCTTAGTTTCTTTTAAAAATACGTCTGAGATTGATACGATGGTGGGTGAAAAGTTGCCAGTCACATGCTAAAGATGATGTGAAAGATGTACGGACTATATTGGTGTAGGTATATAATATACTTTTTTTGCTTGTAGTAAAATCTTGGTAATACAAAAACAGGAGTGTGTTAAGTCTACTGTGATGTGTGCCGTTGATGTATTGAGTTTTGACATCTAAACTTAGACTTCTTTACGTGTCGATATTTCAGAAAGAAAGAGAGATATTGGATCTGGAAGCAGCTACATTGGCTGCTAGAGGGTACTGTGAAAATACGGATCCGTTAACTTCGTGTAGCTTCAGTTGCATTAACCAGTATACGGTGACCAGGATCCCAAAGAGATTGCTCATTTAAGCTTGAATTGTGCAAGGGGCTTGTACAGAAGCAGTTAAAATATAAAATATGTAAATAAAGGTTTCATATTGATAAAGCTTAGCGTGAGGTTTAAAATGGTATTAATGCAGGCAAAGTGAATCTTCTATGACGGGAAAGATGTTAGGTGAACTTCTAAGTTCCTGCAAACAAAAACTCTCTGAGAAGGACGATTAAAACGCCATAATGAGGCCTAGATGACACACACGACACCCACACAACTGCAAAGTAGAAAGAGAGAGGTAGAGATAGACTTCTTTTTGGCTGATGGTTTTCAGCATGACGTGTTCAAACGCACATGAACCTTGATGCAAGCGGTACGACAGCATCATATGTGTATATAAATAGACACTATATACGCGCACCGTCACACAAACTCAGATATAGAGATATGCATGGTCTTTCCTACGCAGCAAATATAGCAGGGTCACTAACGACGTGCATTTGAAAGAATCCGCAGGAAGACCGTAAGCTCACACATTTCCATCCGATGTTCTAACCCGAATTTATATGATAAGGAGGCCCCCAAATAACCTTGCCTTGTAAAGCTTGCCCTAGTTCACTCCCGAACATTTCAGGCCGAATCTTTGAGAAAGCGAGTGTTGTAGACGAGGATCCGATCGCGCCTTTACCGACTCAGATTCTCCCGACGACGATGAGCATTCATTCTCGCGCAAGCCAGCCGGGTCATTCCATGCCAAAGGAGACGGCAATTTTCGTCATATTTTGGATATGCTTGAAAAAAAAATAATATGAATAAAGACACATTTGAAAGTTAGGATGGCTAAGTTTGAGGGCTCAATTATGTTTATTTTTGCTGACATCATGCTCCAAAGTGCAAGGAATTTGAGGAAACCTCCTGTATTTAAAAAAAAAATTGCTGAAGAAAAGCTATTCTTACCGCATAATTTTACGTTTGCATGCAATCGAGCATAAATATATTCTATCTTCCCTTGAAAGTAAAACACCTTACGCCGCCATTTTGAGTCCAGACAGGCACTCCAAACGGAAGCAAATTTTTAAGATTTCTTGATTTTTTTTAGTCACCTTGAAATTAAAATTTGACTAAGAAACTTTTTTCACTTATTTTTCTGAACCTTATGCTCGACTAGGTTGCATTAACACAGTTAAAAGTTATTCGGACATTTTTTAATTAAATGGTGAATATGTCAGTTTCTTCAAAAACGGCCCTATAGAGGGTAAAAAAAAAGCCACGTGGGCAACCGCGCTCGCATTTTCTGAAATAGCCCAAAGTTTAACCGACCCCATCTGTTTAACATATGAAAAAATTGGAAAAGTACCTTTTGTTATTTTGGAGAAATTATTTTTTAAATATGAGGCAGAACAGCATCACCTCCAGGCGTCCACCTCGTCGGGAACGCACGCCGTCGTCTGCTACGGTCGAGTGAAACGCTGCACAGGGTACTTAATTTCGTTAATCATATATCTCTATAGCTAAAGCTGAGGATCTTGACATTATGACATGTCTATTTATAGTGACTAGAGAGTGCATTTTTTTTCTCTAAACTATACGTCCGGGTGCGCTTGCAAGTTGAATAGCGACAACTCGAATACTGTTTGGGATACTTTTTATCAAAGCCGAAACAAAGCACATTTGTTGTTCATCGACATTTCTTTTTTTCTTATGTACATGAACGTAATATATAGTCCTGAAATACTATGTACAGGTGTCACTCAGATAAGATATCAATACACCAGAAAGGGCAGGCGAATACTCATATTTAGGGGTTTTCGATAGGAGCACAACACAGAACTTTTTTTTTTTCATATAGGGGAGACATCTATTTTACAAGTGGTAAACACGCAACATGCTTTTGTTGTGTTATAACCTTCGAATGGCCGTTGGCCTGAATATCTACTCTTAATGTTCTGTTTCTTTTAATGTTTCACTCTCTGTACTTCAGTTGCACTATGTATGTACCTTTTCGTTAGAAAAGAGGAAAATCACCGTTATCGCTCGGCATCGTTGACGATCTCCAGCGTTCACTATTTCATTTTTTACAAGCAAACGCAGTATGACCAAAAAGGGAAGACGCGCTGTCTGCTAACCAGACTTGTACCGTACGCATTACAAGTAATCAAATTACTTGTAATCGATTACTTTTTGGAGTAATTTTGTAATCAGTTGATAACTTTTATTAGGCAGTAATCACAAGAGTAACCTGATTACTTTTTGAAGTAATAAGAGTACTTGTAACCGTTACAATTTGTCCACGGACCCCCCCCCCCCCCCCCCGGCACACGCCTTTTTTTTTAATGAAATGACAAAAATAAAATTTGCTTTATTTTTTCGAACGGAAAAAAGAAAGATTTTTGTGGAGCTGTAGGAAACGAGGTCAATCTCTTTCTGTGTACAGTTTCTGTGGAATGTCCGTTTTTTGGGTTTTTTTTTCGAGCTGGGACTGGGGGTGGGAAGCCTCAGTCACAGTGCGTGACGTAGGCCATTCAGGGCGAAGTTTGAGGAAGCAGAATGTAGCTTTGTGAGTCCTTCGTTCAAACTAGCTCTCTCACGCACACACACACATAAATAAAAAAAAAATCCTGCTTAGGGTACCTACTACATGAAGCACCACCGCAGATTGTGCACCGCTGCTTCTTTGGTTTGCGATGCATGTCCTCCTTCCTACATACCAACTAGGAAACACGGAATCGTCGTAGTCAGTTCTTTGCGGGAGAAGTTGTCCATCTTCGCGCGGTTATCCCGTGTGGCGAAACGAGTGCGGCGGTGCACGATCCTGCGTCAACAAGGAGAATTACACCTACTCGTACTGAACGTATACCGAGCGACTCCGAGATCTTCCCGAGAGTGGCCGAGAACAGCAGATGACAAGAAATTTCGCTCCATCTCGTCACAGACGCGAGGCTCCGAGAGAAAACGAGAAAACGGTCGATGCTGGCATAGATAAATGGAACTCCTCCTGTTTTACGCTGCCGCTGAATTCGCTTCGGCGGCAGCGATTATTTTTGCAAGTGTAAACGCACCATAAGAGCGCATCGAGTTCTTCCCACAACAACGCTTGGAACAGTGGTCTAGTCGCTTAGGTCAACACGTCATTTGTGCCGTCGGTACACCCACCAACGACTCTCCAAAGTGAGCACACTGCCGATATAGTAACGATTTATTTGAAACCACGACGTCACTCTTCCAAGCGTCGTTGTGGACAGCGCTTGTGACCCTCCTTCTGAGGGCAATTTTAAAATCAGGCAAAACACTCTAAGGTTGTTTGATTTATATCTCGAAAACCATTACCCCTTCGCAAATTCTTTATATTTATCTAGTCTATGAAATAGTAATTTCTGTCAATAATGCAATTCTAATATGGGACCTAAACCACCCATAAGATTACTTAAGAAATTTAAGTCAATTATTCAAGTTACCGTTACGAGTATCTTCTCATATAATGTACACCGAGCCCAATAAATACATGGTGAAGTCGAAACTGGCGTCTCACCCCCTTATTTTGTACATGTTCGAATTGAAAATAACCACCCTGCATATTTCGCTATTACTGTCGCTTTCGATTAAACAGTATGTAACATTTTCTTTTCATACTACAATAAAATGCAAATAAATATAATTTGATAAATATAACATAAAAACTGTAAATTATAAATCTAAAAAAAAAGTAACGCTCAGTCTGATGATTGCAATGGGTCCCAGCTGTTTCTGCCAACACATGTGTGTTCCCTAGATTCAAAAGCGGCGCGTCATGCTCTCAGTTCACATATTTTTTCGGTGACTCGTATGAAACGAGCGCATATTTTTGGGTTATACGTAGTTACTTGGGCAGTGTGAAGTCGCGCTAGCCGAACTTTTTTTCAACCCCGTTTGAAAACAGCCGCCGACGGAGTTCCCCAGTATGTCCGTGAAAGACGTAGCCATTTCCAGCACCATGAGGCCTGACGAGTACGTGGCGAGAAATAAAGTGCAGCGAGAAAATAGCATTTATGCCTTGGAACTACTCGAAGGATCATTTGGGAGTGATGACACCTCTGACCACCAGTTTCTCGACGTGGGCTGCGGTCCTGGAGACGTCACGCGCGACTGCCTTCTTCCTCGCTGCCCTCCGTGCCGAAGGATCGTGGCCGTTGACGTGTCCGAGGACATGGTGAAGTACGCCCAGGAGCATTTCGCCCATCCCAAGATCTGCTACGATGTCCTGGACATTGGATCTAAGGATATTTCAGACTTCGTCGAGCGCCACGGAGAGTTTGATCGCGTCTACTCTTTCTTCTCCTTGCACTGGATCACGGACCAAGAAACGGTCTTGAAAAATGTCGCCAAGTTGATGAAACCCGGAGGAGGCTGTCTTCTCCTTTTTACTGCTTCCAGTCCTATGATGCGCTTCCGGAAAAAAAATGACCGAAATGGAGCGTTGGCAGAAGTACATAAAGGTAAGGAAACCTTCGCTTATAATGCAATTGATTGCAAATATTCAAAACTTCGTGTTTCTATTTTTAGCATGTATACCAACCTCGTTTTAGGCGTTACGCAGCAGGCAAGCTCACCAGTTTCGTTTGTGGGATCCCCTTAGCTACGGTGTAATTCTGTTGCCACAAAAATCAGGTCTCCATAACATATGCTTTCTCTGTCATCTCGCTGGCCCCGTGGCCGCACTGGCAAAGTAGAATCTATTAATAATTATTTTATTAATCTTTCTTAAAGAAAGATGACAACTGCAACAAAAAGCTGCAGTAAGTCAAACTTGACGAGATCCCAGGTCCAAGATGAAAAATTTGAACGTAATATATCATAAGTCAATTAAAATTTTAACAAAAAAAAAACAATCATGACACTGAAACTTTTAAGAATAAAGATATATTTTCGCTGTAAAATAGTCATTTTACGAGGTTGAAAATGACCATATGCTGGTGACCCATTGGCCACTGGAGTGACTGGCGCTAGGACTCTTGATCAAAACAATATGCAGTGCTTAGAGACATAATCGCTCTCCCAGCATAACCCTCCGCCCCCCCCCCCCCCCCCCCCTTGCTCTAGAGCACCGTGCTCTAGAGCCCAACACAAAAAGGAAGGTAACAATATCGCAACGAAAATTCGCAAAATCGTATCGTTAACATTCCACATGTCAGTAATGTTGGCAACCAAGGTAAGGCCCGCAAACCCTTCGCAAGAATGACACCTCGCTGCACCCAACTGCGTTAACTAAAGTTAGGCAATGCTTGACGAGGCAGGTGTAACCATGCCGTGCTGTTCACAGTGTTCAGAACGTGTTCGCAGCTGCCAAGACTGGCAGTATTGATGGTGTAGAATGCACGTTTCACAAGCACTATTCAAACTAGCAATCAGCACGTACTCAGCAGAAACGAATTCCACTATGGCCGCCAGTGATTGCCCCTTTTACGAACTGTTCTCATTGTTTCTTCGTACTCAGATCTGTGCGGGCTGTGTTCCTCCGAGCATAGACCTAGCGGACCAAGGAGCCCTCATCGCTTACCTGATGGACCTCCTGAAGACCGCCGGGTTGATACCCACAACATACGAGCTGCTTCGACTGCAGCCTCCGTACACCAGCCTGGAGAAAGTGATTGGTGAGCATCTCCGGCGTCAAATAAGGTGCCACGGGAGGGTAGATGATGGGCACATGCGGAAACCTATTTCATTTTCTACGACAATTTTTGTCCCCCAAAATCGGTCCTCGTAGACATAGTTTGCTGAAGTCTGACGCGAATCTCCTGCTTATATATGCATAAGTATGACCTTGACTCGAATCAACTTTGTTTTTTCACTTGCTAGATTATCATTACTTTATTGATATCCACAAATGTGTTACGTATGTGTGCAGTGGTAATGCAGCATAAGCAAAACGCGACAAATTGGTTATGCCTTGCTGGTTTAAAGTAGACACATCTATAGACGTTTGCAAGTTCGGTCTCTGGAAGCCGCCATCTTGCTGCTGGTGTGCGTAGATCATCTGATAGCCGAGAGTTGCTTATTCGTACTCACGGTTACCAGACTGGCGCCCAAGCGCTGAATGAGGTGGCGTCAATAGAGAAGGTCAACACAGGACACAAATTGTACACGAGAATTGCCTCAACGTTCGTCTGAAACTTGACTCGAAGCCGAGCGCTGACGCTGCACTTGTTGCCAATCTGCGTCCAGCGTCCGGTGAAGACGCCAACTCATTCAGCTCTAGGGCTCTGTTATCTAAGAAGTGTTGTCTGAACTCTTCACCTGTCACCGACTATACGGGCTATACTTTCATTAAAGTCTTCGACGAATGTCTTAAGCAATGCAAATATCTCTGATTTTATCGACAATATTTGTAATACTTGAGGGTGCTGTTACTTTCAACATGCCTAACTGCTCTGGCCTTACGAAGGGCAGTAGACGTTCAAAATATAAATGAGTAAATAAATGTTTGCGCCAATACCGTATTCTGTATTGCGTAGGCCATCTCGTCTGGGCAGTTCGAACTGAATGAAGTAAATGAGCTATAGTCCGTTGCAACTCAAGAAGGTAGGGCTAGGGTAAGACGGACCGGGAGGAGAAAGCAGACGGAAGGCTAAAGAGAGAATGAGGTTTCTCTCTCCCTTCTACATCGTTCCGTCTGTTTCCTTTTCCCCGGACCGTCTAACCCTAGCCCTACCTTCTAGAAACAACATTTCCAGGGGCAATTATGCTCACACACGAAGAAGACGTCGATCGACACAATAATTTAAAACTACGTCTACATGTCCCTAAATGCGAATCATAGACGAAACTCGTTCTAGACTAAAAGTCCTCAATCGCCCAATGCTTTTAACCCTCAACCGTATGATTTCCTCAAACCCTAAAACGCAAACTTTGGCTCAGCAACCTTCATCTTTCAAAAGGTGAACGACAGTGCTCTTTACCTGTCGTTTGTTCCACAAGATTGCGGTAAGGCAAGGTGAAACGGTGGTGCGGTGATTATTCTTTTTTTTTTTTTGTTTCGTGTCGCCCCCAACACCGCGACGGTGAAAAGTGGTGGACTGAGACGTTTGTTGTTATTGAAAAACCTTTATTTCAGGAAAGGTGGAGAAGGGAAGTGGGGCGAAAGGAAATATGGCGAGAAGAAGGTGCATACCCCTTATCCGGGGTTCCAAGCGCGACGACTGCTTGCAGAGCACGGCCTACGAGCGGTCTCTGCCCGCAGGCCTCCTCACTCCTCAGCCCCGCTTCCCACATCTCAAGAGTAAAATCACACTGGCACGAGTCCTGGAGATCTTCTTACACACCCAAGCGAGATGATGAATGTCCGCCCATTGCGCCCCGCAGAAGGGACAGCTCGGTGCCGCGAAGCGTTCCGGGTACCAGACATGCAGCTGTGTCACAACCGTGTCCGTTCGCAGTCTTCGTCACACAAACTCTTCTTTCTTCGTCAGTTGCCTGCTAGGCCCAGGAAACGCCATCCTACCCTGCCTTCTGACCTTGATGAACTTATTCTAGGGTAGCCCATAATCCGATGACTCCGGGGCCGGGGGTGAGTCCCGATTTAACGCATCTCCGGCCGCGGCGCCTCATTGCCCGCTCTCCCCATATGGCCGGCAGCCCAAATCAAATGAACCCCCACAACATTAGCCTTCGCAAAAATTTTCATCGCTGGTCGCCCCACTATGCTACAAGCGTAATTCCTTACATGAGTTTTGAGAGTCAGATGTTATCGTAGCCCTAGGGCCCTAAACTCGTCAAACACAAAGTTGCAGCCGAAAGTTCGCGGAGCGCGCTGATTGGACGTGGGCGACAAAAACGCGAAGTCATTGTCGTGATTGTCCAATCGGTGTGCTCTGTCGACTTCGGCCCCAACTTTGTGTTTGATGAGTTTAGGGCCACTAGAGTTGCACACGATCGCCAAAACAGGCGCCGCCTCCTCCGCTTGCTCCGCCGAGCGCGGCCGAATTGTAGCGATCCTTACCACGCGCACCTGAGCATCCGCCACAGCAATTGTCGCAATGCCCGACACGGGACCGGCCTCGTCTACGTTGCCTTCCATACTGTACCAGGACCAAGACAAGGCTGCAGTGAACGCCTGTCTCCATTCTACCTCCCGGTCTGGGTACATGTTCCGAGGAATTCTAATAAAAACAAACCTTTGTCTTACTTCGTATTCCATAACGCCCCCCGTCTCCTCCCCTCTCGAGAGCCTCCGCAACCGACATCTCAAGTTTGTCTAAAAGCCACCTACCAGTAGTCGTGCCCTCAAGCCTCCTGAGCTGAGAGATCAATTGCTCTTCGCGTGGAGAATGCTGTTATGCACCCCAGCTTGAGTAGCCCCTCCGTGACTTTCCGTTCCGGTAGCCCCAATGCATTCTTAAAAGCCTTTCGTATAAAGATATTTAGCCTCTGCATCTCCGTCTCGTTAAGTTGTCAATACGGAGTCCCATATGTCAACCTGGAGATAATGAAGGCCTGGACGAGCTGGACCGCCTTCTTCTTCTTGATGCCACGCTTTTTATTCCTAATCCTCCTCAACCTACCACACACCTGCGCAGTCATGGTGTCCAGTCTGTTCAGGGTTGGCTTGTTCCCTCTGCCTTGCTGAACCTGCTGCCACAATATCCACACACCCTGCGGCTTCGGCACATTCATGCCCACTATCCTTATGTGTATATGCTTTCACAATCTCTCCCTCGAATTTCGAAGAATAAATAGCTCGGACTACTACGGAGCACAATTCAAACCACACTCTCTGGCATAGCAATCCACAATGTCCGCCGCCCTTTGCAAGTGCTCCTCGATTTCCCCGTCACTGCCCGCCCTGCACCATATAATGATATCATCCGCGTAAATCGCGCGTTCCACCCGCGGTACGGCCCCCAAGGCTCCCGGTAAGCCCCGCATGGCGAGGTTGAAGAGCAGCGTTGAGAGAACTGCACACTGCGGTGTGCCCCTAGGGCCCAGATTGTAAGTCTTAGACTTAATATTGGCAAGCTTGAGTGTGGCCGCCCTCACCGTGAGAAAAAACTTCGCACACAACCGTACATCCTCCTTCCACAGTTGATTTGGCCGAGTCTCCGGAAGATACTGTCGTGAGAAACATTATCAAAGACCCCTCCAGATCCAGCGCGAGTATTCATCTCGTCTGTGACTTCCGAGGATCCTCCAGAATAACTTTATACATCCACAGCAGCACATCCATAGACGTTTGGGGTCTAAACCCGAACTGTGTGTTCGAAAGCCGCTGTCTCTCGTCTATGTACCTCATCAGTCTCGAATTTAGCACCCTCTCAAACATCTTCCCTAAACAGGACGTAAGCGAGATCGGGGGGAGATTTTTTTAACTTTCGCTCCTTCTTAGGTTCCAAAATAAAACGAACATCGGCCGCCTTTCACGCCTGTGGCGTCACGCCATTTTCCCGAAAATGCTCATTAAAGTGCCTCACCAGCTCCTCCAGATCCCCTTCTCCCACGTTGTAGAGAAGCTTGGCCGTGACGGAGTCCGGAGCCGGGGCAGCGTTCTTCTTCATCACTCCCAGCTCGTATTTCAACTCCCACACACTAACAGGTCTGTCCAACTCGGGCTTTTCCTCTCCCGAGTAGTCTATTTGCTCCTCCAGCGGCTTGAGGCAGAGATACCTCCCTGCAAGTCAGTTCAGGATCTGCTCTTGATCCCCTTGACTTTTGTAGATCAACCCAGCGACACGTATGCTTGTCGCAGACTTAGTTCGCCCCGGGGCAAGAAGCGCCCTGAGCAGCCTCCACACCTGAGCTGTGTTTAGACTTCCTCGTATCCTGTCATATAGGCCATACCAATTTTGCCTGGCTAGCCCATCCGCGTAATCCTCGGCCTTATCCGTGATTTTCTGTATCCGCTTCCTCAGCTGCTTATTATGGCGCTGCCTCTTCCAGCTCTTGGTCAGCGCACGTCGGGCCTCCCATAGATGCAGAAGATGCGTGTCCACCTCAGGATTCTTGTCCGTAAGATCCACCTCCGTAACAAGAGATTTCACACTGGATACCGCCGACTTGGTCCACTGCTCGATACTGTCAATTGAGGCCGTCGTTTCGCCTCTCTGCCACCGGTACCAGTCCGTGATTCTCGCCCTGCCTATACTTCGCTTGTAGCCGGTTCTGGGGATGGTCGTCTCCAGAATACAGTGACCGCTGCCTATCTGTTCTGTCAGATTCCTCCACTCCGCGCCTTCCACGTTCCTGACGAGGTCAAGCCCGGCAGGTTTCCCTGCATGTACCGGTGCCTGTCCAGGTCGGCTAGTCCGCTTCGGTCAGGAGAGTGAGTCGTTCCCGGTTGATCCACTCCGCCAGTCGTCTTCCCTTGGGCGTCACAAATTTGCATCCCCACGCCGGACGAGCAGCATTAAAGTCCCCCGCGGTTATCACCAGGTCCTTTCCAGCCTTTTTCCCCGCCGCAGAGATCAAATGTCGAAAGTACGTCCTATGGCATTTCGGGTTGTCGTAGGCATTCAAACCGTGCACCCCACTGTCCCCCTTTTTTGTTGGTATGACCGTAAGAAAGCAGCACAGGACACCGCATCCGTCAAAATCACACTTCGTTGCGGAGTACAACTTATGCACGAGTGTAGTTACGTAGCGATCCCCCTCAAATGTCACACAATCCTTGGTCTTCACCGGATTCCTCCAAAGGTTCTTGCAGCAATATGACCGCCGGGGGTTCGGTTTCTTGCGGGACCTGCAAGCCAAGACCTGCTTCCGCCCCATCCCGCGGCAGTTCCACTGCCAGATTTTTAGCTCTGGATCCTTAGACTTGCGCATAATTCGGCATCAGACAAGTCCACGTCCTGTGGCCCATCGATCTTCTTCCTTCTGTTCGTGTCGTGATAAAAAAAAAACTGGTGTGCTTCTGCTCCAGCTTCCTTTCCAGGTTTTCCAGCCCCGTAACTATGTGCGTGTGTAACATCAGCTGGCCAGTGACGAATTCTTGCCTCCCGAGAACCGCGCGTTGAACCGCCGCCTCCACAATGCCTTGAATCTGCTTGACCGTGACAGCCTCGTTCCTCCGCTTTTTAATTCCGATGGCCTTTTTGCAATCCGCTAAGTCCTTTTTGATCTCCGGCATCTCGGCGCTGAGAACCACGCGCGACTTGGGGTCGGCTTGGGCTAACCCTCTCGTCTTCCCACCTTCGGAAATTCGGGCCGCTTTCCCCGATCATCTGGGTAAGTGTGAACCTCACGCTTGTCGCCTCCGCCGTTCGTCCTCCTTCTCCACTCGTTTCGTCGCCGCGGTGTAGATGTACCTTGAGCCTTTCTCTCCTGATATCCGGCAGCCCAGCTCCTCGAGCGCTCACGTGGCCTTGACGTGCTCCGGGCCGAATCCCTGGAGAGCGAGCGCACCTTCGTCTCGCTGGCGCGTTGTTTCCCACGGCTCTGTCTCTTCTCCTTGTCCGTCCTGGCCTCCTCGTAAATTTCCTCCGGACAGGACCTATCATAGGTCTTATGTGCCCCCCCCCCCCCCCCCCCCCCCCCGCAGAAGGCACATTTCGGCTCACACACATGCCCCTCCCACATTGGCTGCGCCGCATATCGGCGAGCGAAACCGGCCGGTTTGCTGCAAACATCTATTCAATGGCCCACCTGGCCGCAGTTGAGGCATTGTGCCTTAGTCTTTTTATAGATGAAGCACGGGGTTTCAAGCCGAACGAATCTCACCGTGAAAGGGACCTTGTTTCCCGCGAAGATGAAAGCAACCGAATGCGATGTTCCAAGCCTCCTCGCTTCAAGAATTTCGTACCCGAAAGCCTTGGTCTTCTGTCTGATCTGCTCATCAGTCAAATCCAGGCTAACTCCGTGAATTACGCCCCCACATGACTCTTTTCTCGGCGGAACGTGGTACGCCTCGACATCTGGTTGTCCGACCAAAAAGTTCAGCTTCCTGATTCCCGCCACGGCCTCCGCCTCCGTCCACTCGTCCGTGCACACCATGATCGTGTTTTGCGCTTCGAGCAACCGAACAACGTTTCCGTCCTCTAGTTCTTTCGTCAGAAAGTTGCGTACAGCCTCCCCTACTTGGCCCTTGTATTGCTTCAAGTCGATCGCAACGCGTCTAGGCTTGATAGTGACTTTATTCTTGAACTCCGTCATACTGGGCAACCGCAGGGGTTTCCTCGGCTTGGGCTTCTTACTTGCATGGGCCTCCCTGGCCCCCTTGCCTTCCCGACCTCCATCGACGGGGGTTTCCGTCCCACCGTTGTTTTCCTTCGTCTTTCTATGCAACACTAGTACCCAGTTATTCCTGGGTGCTTCGGATTCCTTGTCCCCCAAGGTGGCCCATAGGTCTTCTGCCGGGGGTGGCTGCTGTGCCGGGTCAATAACAACATGTGCCATTTCTTCTGGGTTATAGCCGGCCTCTGGACCGGCCATTAGCTTCCTCAAAGGCTTGTTTCCATCTGCATTTTCAGGCAACCCCCGAACGAGCAAGCGTCTTGAGATTAGTGTCAGCGAGGCGGCTGTACCGAGAGCATCCCCGCCCAACGCGCCTGGCCGAGCCGGGTCTTCCGACAGGGCGCTATGGATCACGTTCTTCTTCTCCTCCGGGGTTCGCGGAGCCCGGAGAAAGTCGACCGTTTTAGATGGTGTCTGGAATGCGTCTCGGACTGATACAAAAATGATTAGTTATGACCACACTCAATTAATTTTCACTTCACGAAACACTCGAAATCTGTGTTTACTTGAGTTATCTCTAAGCAAAGGTGTAATATTTTGTGTTTTACTATATTTTGTCATAAACTTAACATATCAGCAATATTTATAGATGCCACCTTTACGGTTTTTATACACATTGGCTCAATGGAACAATTCTGGGCCTGTTGAGGCGGGTCCTCCAAAAATTAGAACCGCCTAAATATTTTTTTCCAGAGTATCAAATGGCTGGGAATATCCTGACAACCATCGTCACAGAGGAAGAAAGGTCTCTCCTGCTCGAAGATGTCACCGAGCAAGCGAAAGAGTGGTGGGCTCAGAAAGAAGCCGGCGGCTCACCTTTCGACTGTCAGGTGTTCCTGGTGCACGCCCTCAAGCCTAGGTCGTAGGCGGCCTGTCCGTTCATGCAACGACATGCAGTCAAGCTCTCGTCAAATAAAGTCAGAGTATAGACGCAAAGGTACCGATGAGTCCATGCATACTGCCAGCGGTGCGTTTGAAACACCAGACGTCTATCTCACTTTGTATCCGTCCTCGAACCTGGAGGTGATGCCGCAAGCCATATCGAGCATTAGTGAACGATGGCAGAAGCTGTGGCTGCTGTCGGGTTGTGGTTAGTTACTTATAGATTTTAATCAGTTAGTCGAGACACAGTTCTATCGTTGGAAACACAAATATGGATTGGTCCTAAAACATAATTAAATAAAAGTAAACCATAAATACACAAATATATAAAATGAAGGAAGAGAAACGATCGCAAAAGTTACAAGTGGGGGAGGCTGAATCCAACTCACGAGTTTGGTGTAGATCACTGGCCGCAGGCTGGTGTAGATGCCATGGGGTTGGATTGATTCGGGTTGCGAAGAGCGCTTCGGTATTGAGTTATCTTTTGGAGTTGGCGGGGTCTTGATTTGCACCGGGATGTTTCGTTCTTGCTGGGTGCGAGATTTGCAGACCGTCCTTGCTCCCAACAAGATCAGGTCAGTTGCAAGGTGGATTAGCGCCGAGACCCGTCGGGAAGCAGCAGACTTGGTTCTTAGACCTCTTGAGGCGCAACCGAAAATTGAGGTCCAACGTCTTCGCACTCCCAGCCTGGTTCGATTCTCCAGCGCCGCTCGCTCTCACGCCGCTTGTGTCCTTTTCTTTTCACCTTCCCGCCCGCACTTCTTTTTCATTCGTTCAGGATCGGCCCAGACACTGCCCTGTTCACCCTTGCGAAGTTCATGGTGATTTCAGGCTGACTGCGCGAGCCCATACTCACTCCTAGGCAGTGGCGTCACTAGGGTCAGCGGCACCCCGTGCGGTAACCGGTCGCGACGCTACTACTCCTAGGTATAAAACATCAGTGATGCGTGATTCAATTTCATATTTGGGTATTTTAGGCGTACGCCAAATTTGACGGTAAAAACAATCCGTGAAATACGGCGAAAAATGTTTGGTAAAATTTGGTGGTAAAATTTTTTGACAAATTTGGCGGGAAAAGTTTTCGCTAAATTTTGCGGGAAATTTCTTCCTCGATTTGGCGGGAAAGTGTTTAGCTATATTTAACCGAAAACTTTGCCGCCAAATTTAGCGGGTCGATGTGGTTATGACGTCACAGCCACGTGTGACGTCACACGGGGTTGCGCGCGTTGCATTATGAGATTTTTTGGTCCCGCCGACGCCGGATCTTTTGGGACATCGCGTTAAAAAAAGCGCCATCCCCCGTTCATCCCACGCTGAAAGTGCGGTGGGAGCTAAGCTATTGCCAGACCAATGAACCGCCCCCCTTTCATGAGCTAACCCAGTTCTCCGCGCGGGGATGTGGACGAGCGTGATCACGTGTTTGTGTTTAATTGGGTATGTACGTTTCGGATTAGAATTTTGCAACGCGCGCCAAATGTGCTGGCTTTTGCGGCCGCTCCCCGTACACCAGATGCTTGCAGTAACAAGAGATCTGCCATGATACGATAAACGTTTGCAGCTGTTACAGCGGATGTCCTTAACAAAAGTTCGTAAAAAAAACAGAAACGTTTTGCTATTTCTTTTTTATAGCCGAGGTGCAGACGTAAAAACTACTGGTGTGGGCAGACAGCAACTCTGAAATAAATGTATCTTAACCCTTCAAATAAAATTGAAAGACACCGAATCTGCACCATGCTGTGTTATTGCCGTTGTCGTTGTCGTTTGTTGCCGTTGTCGGTTGTTGTCGTTCGTTGTTTTCGTTGTCGTTCACGGCTGTCGTCGTTGTTCTTTGTTTGTTGTTTACGTGGCCTGGGTGTATTTTTCTTAGCTTTTCTGAGCTCCGAAAGAAAGCTGCACATAACGCGTCTGCCGTAGTCGAGAGGCACGTCGAACGTATCCGAGATACGGGCAAAAAATTGCGGGCATATCCGGCAGATACCGTACCGGTATCCGTAGGATATCTTCCCCGTGAGTGTAGGTGTAATACTCCCGTGAATCTCCCGCTAAATTTAGCGGGGAAAGCGGCGTCAAGTGACGTCACGTGACCTATACACCTTGGGAAAATTGACAGCACGGGGCCTGTACGTCAACTGACTTTCCCCGCCAAATAGAGGGGAATAATTCACGTCCCTTTTGGCCAAAAATATAAATTCAGTTTCCCTGCAAAATTTAGCAGGAAATTATCGTCTTGTGACCCAGACACCAATCCAGTTTCCCCGCTAGATTTAGCGGGGAAATTCACGTCCCCTGACCTATACAGCCACTCGGTTTCCACGCTAATTTTATCTGGAAAATATACGTCATGTGACACAACCAATATACGTTTTGTGCAATATAGCACTTTAAAAGTAACAATCGCCTCCAGATTTTTTTAAGCGTCTAGATGGTTTACAATCGTTTAAAATACGTGGTTACGGAGGAAGAAAGCCCTCTCCTACTGAAAGATGTGAGAGAGGAATTGACCAAATGGTGGGCCGAAAAAGATGCCGGCGACTCGCCCCTCGATGGTCAGTGTTCCTTGCGCACGCCTACAAGCCTCGGTCGCCAAGGGTTTTCACAGCCATGTAAGAATCTGCCGACTGGAGTCATGGTATTTAAAAATAAAATCTGTAGATACTGTCAAAAATACCCTGGACCTTACTTTGCAGTTTTATTTTGTACTTATTTTCATTTATTTCCTCTCAAGGCATAACAGATAGGAGTGAGGCACTGCAACTTACATATAAAAGCAAAAAAGAAATTAAGTACAAGAATACAAAATTACTACGAAACATCGTTTAACAAATCAGTAATTGTAATTCTAAAATCAGCAGTGTTGGTAGCTGTAACAATAACCACAAAATGGCAATTCCAAGGAATGGAAGTTATTATTTTTATATACAGGGTGTTTTACGAAAGGTGGACACAGTCGATATTGCAAAAACTACGCTTCAAGAAAAAACGGCTTGTCTCGTTTTGGTCCTGGATCACGGGCCTATTTATGAAAATTAATAAAGTCCGGGATAATTAAGTTGTTAATATTTTCGCGTAATTAACTTTTTAATATTGTGTTTAAGGGCATGGTTTCCATTAGGAAATTCCTCAGCATCATCAAAAAACACTAAATCAACAAATTGCATAACGATAGAAGGCTCGCAAAGCATTTTACGGCTTTCTGACAAACCGCACAAATACGACGTGTTTTTAAGTTTCGGTTTGCTATCGGAGCGCATCTCGGCCCCGACGGCACCGCGCCCCGTGGAGAAATAGTGCAGCCAGCCTCTGCTGCGTCGCGCGAGGACAGCGCAGCAGAGGTTGGTTGCACTCTCTCTATAAACCCAGGGCAGTTAAGCAACAAACAAGGAACAACAACGCCAACCATCAACGACAACGAAAACAAGAAATGACAACGATAACGACCGACAACGGCAGCAATCGACACGACCATAAACGACGACGACAACAAACGACAAGGACAACAACACAGCACGGTGCAGATTCGGTGTCTTCCAACTTTATTTGAAGGATTAAGAGACATTTATTTCAGAGTTGTTGTACGCCCACACGTGTAGTTTTTACGTCCACACATCGGCTATACAAAAAAAGGGAGAGTGTTTTTTTTACAAATTCTCGCGAAGAACATTCGCTGTGACAGCTGCAAAAGCTGCCGCATCATATCAGATCCCTTGTTGCTGCAAGTATCCAGTGTACGGAGAGCGGCCGCAAAAACCAGCACATTTACCGCGCCTCGAAAAATGATATCCGAAGCGTACGTACCTAATTGGGCACGCAAACGTAACTAAAAAAATAAAAAAAAGCTTTATATCCATTCTTTTAGAGCTCAATTACTTGTGAAGTTTTAAGAATACGGTAAAACCAGCGGCCGTGCACATTTCCTACATCCGATTGGCGGCGCGTTGTTTTAGTGTTGCCGCCTCGCGGGCGCCTTCCTTTAACGGAGCGGGAAGGATGCGAGCTGAAGACGCGCTATCCAATAGCACGGAGTGGCTATGTTAGTTCGCCTCTATGCCAATTGAAATCGGGTTATTTATAAAGAATCGTGTAAGATGTTATTGTGAGTAATCTTTCTAATGAGCAATTGCGGCCTCGAAATTGCTTTTTGGATTTAAACAAAACTATAGGATGTTCAACTGGAGCTTCACATTACAGGTTGCGCGGCGAGCGTCGAGGCTATTCCACGGCCTCTCTTATTCTTCCTTTTTTTTTATTTATGGAGGCTCCTGTAGAAAAGGATTTCGCATTCACTAGAGTAAATGACGTGTTGTCATCTTAGCTGTCAACGCGCGCACGATTGTGTTGCAAAGCGCCGCACGCCTGTTCTAGCTACATTGAGTCAGCAACTAAGGCTTAGCTCCTCTCGCATCGAATACGCGGCAAAGAATATTGTCACATCGCGACTTCTGCTCGAAAGAAAAGCAAACATTTTCATAACTTCATAAATTTTCGGCCATGGCCCGTCAAATTTTGCTGATTGATTCATTTGTTCTGTACAACTTTTGCTAAGAACTGTTTACAAATTTAAAATCGCTCGCTGAGACGCGCATCACACAATTTGCGCAATTCATTGGGTATGCGAAATTAATCTTACGACCGGTCGGAATTCATAGCAGCTGTATACTGTACCTCATTTTTTCGGACGATGAAGTGTCACCGACTCACTAGATTTAACAGACCTCGATCGCGAGGTGGCCTCGCGCGTTTCGCATGGACCGGGTGAATAATCGGGGATTTAGATGAAACGACTTCGGAAGACAGCCACCATTTATTTCTGCCCGTTATATTGGGGGAATGTTGTTGTTTACTGCTTTACACAATTCAAAAATGAATCAATGGAGTGAACGCCCGTGCTGCAGAACCGAGGTATCCTGGGTTGCATTTCAACCTTTGCATGTTTAACTTCCAGATGAGCATCGTGCCGGTGTGCGTTCCTGTATCATTAGAGAGT